AAATCCTTAAGGGTTGTTGTAATGTTGTTTTGCAGTAGCAGGGTGTGTTGTATATTATAGTAGCATGCTATGCTGCTTTTTGGGTAATACAAAGGAATTTATCCAAATTTATTTAAGAAACTAATTGAATCGAGTTGATCAAATTTCTAACAATAATTAAATTTGTAAAATGTGATTATATATTTAAAAAAATTGATTGAAGGATAATTTGACTGATATAGTACCAAAGAATATTGTTATTTCTATTTTATTTTTTTTGCAATCATTAAGTCGAATTTGGCCCATTCTTCATGAGAATCTATGTTGGTCGATGGTGGGGGATGGGGGGTGGCAGATGAGTCTGATTTGGTTTGATTCTTGGATTTTGAGGAGTACGGATATAAGATTTATGTTAATGAATGAATTTACAAAATCTTAAGGAATAAAATTTATTAAATTTTAAGAGAGACGAAAACATATTTTTTATAGAAAATATAAAATAATATCTAAACTATAAGAATTTGAATACCTACTATGCTCTGATTGATATGCAGGGGTTAATAATATTATGCTTTGGTTTAAGATAGTTGTTGGCTGTGGGAATTGATATGATGATATCTCACATTCCTAAGACAATATATTGATGATGATCTAAAATGCATCTTGCCAATTATTCTAAAGTCAATAGTGATCAACCGAATTGGAAATGAGTCTGAGGGTACATTCACAGTAAAGTCAGCATATCGAAGATTAAAATATTTTTATTATTATTTACCTGTGATCCAATGACTGCAGGTTAACGTTACTAATTCTGTTGGCATATATCTATGAGTGATTGTAATTAGAGGCACTTATTTGGATGGATCCGGTCTGATAAGTGGTTCATGTTGTTTTTACTCGCCTTCTTCATTTCCTGCTTGTAACAAAGAAACATCATCATTGGATTAAATAATCATAATTAACTACTCGAAGTGTTTACTTAATTAGGTTAAAATATATTTTTGTTCACTCATATTTGTCTTTATTTATGATTTAGTCACCTAAAAACTTTTGATTTACTTTCCAACTTTTGCATTTCATTTTTGGTCAAGTGTATAATATCATTGGAATTGTTTGGATAAACTTATGTTTCAAGCTATTAATACTTTTTTTTCAAACCTACATTTTCAGACTACCTTAATGTTAGAGTATTTTCGTATAGATTCGATTGATGATAAGATCGAGAAGGAGGAGAAAAACAATTCATCTCAATTGTATAATAATCAAATGGTAGAAATTATAGATCACAACAAGACACACCAATAATTTGATTTGAGTTTTATTAATTTTGAAAGAATTTAAACAAAAACTTAGCTAAGAGAATAAAAGTTCATTCGAGGTGTCACATCAACTTTTAAACCTTTACTTGTTCAAAATAATAAAAAATCCCCTTTAAAAAAACTTCATATTATTTCAAAATAAAAGATTTCAAACTTATCAGAGCATATACAATTCAAATCATTTATATTATATGCCAACTACATCTAAAAGAATAAAATACATATCAACCATTTCTTTTCTGATCTGAACTTTATAAGGAAGATGCTGACCTGTCTTGCTCCCCTCAGCTTCTCTTTTCACTTTCTGTAACCTGCGTGTGAAACACTCACACGCTAAGTCGATGAATTAGTGAGACATAAAACATATAATAGAACTCTAATGTGTGATCATGCATGAACAATTTCTACTAACCTATTATATACAAGCATAATACACACATATATATATACACCTATCGTTTCCATACTAATTCCTAATATGCACATTTCATATATTTATTCTAAATTGTCTAACACATTATTCATCAGTACATAAATATATATATATATATAGATATATATATATATAATATATATATATATATATATATATATACTTCATACCAACTATATATTCTTTTATAAAACATTTATATATTACACATCATCATTTACATATTTATCATACTTATATTATTATCCTTTATATCTCTTATCTCTTTATTCTTATAGTCTTACATTCATTTTATATCTCATAACAGATTCTTATATCATCATATAAGTCATTTATATTCATTCACATATACATTAACATACATTCATGTGTATCATGTAACAGATGCAATCACCCATAACACATATATATCGTATCATACAATTCATATTACACATCATATATATATATATATATATTACATACGTTGTATTCAAAGTTATCCCTTTATTAGCCTATGTACACATGTGAGAACTATATATATGTGAGTCTATAGAGGTTGTGCACAAATGCTGTCACCACAACTCGTATAATTCTTACTGAGTGGCATATGAAATTTGTCCCGAATGACCTATGTATTTCTCCCGAAGGACCTATGTATTTCTCCCGAATGACCGTTTAGACCCTCGACTCTTGGCATGCCAACTATACCTTTAGCTATCCTGACACATAACATGGGCATTCTCTTTCATATCATTTCTCTATTAATATAGATGTATGGTTCACTTTCACATATCACATATACTTTCTCTTCATATATCTCATGTCATGTATCATATCTTGTGATCATTTAAACACATCACTTATAATCATATAACTTATACTCATAGGGTTGAACATCATTAAACTTAGTTCACTTTTCATATAATCTATATGTCCCATCAATAACCTATAAACTTACTCATATATATATATATACTCTTTAATGTAATTTGCATAGTAATGCTCTATATTTGTATCATATAATGATTTTACCTAAGTCTTCCTTTATAAAGTTTATACTACAGGTTCAAGTAGTCTCATTCTATACTATAAATAATTTATACTCATCTTATCTCACTTCCCCTTTCACTCACATAGATCATCTATATACTATTTTAATCTATTTATTTAGTTCAATTTCCCATGATTTTCTACAATACTTTCATAAAACTTTGTAGTTCTTCACTTTATAACTCATAAACCATAGTTCCTTTAAGTATTTAAATATTCCCTATATAACTTATGTATTATTATTTATGTTTATGCCCGAATTTATACTATCCTCATAGAGTCTCCTACCTTTCTCGTTTAATCACTTATACCATATAATATGACTTGTACTTGGTTATCTTATGTTCACTATATATCAATGATTCATTAACTTGTATCTTATATCACATGTTTATTTCATTCCTTATGTCTTTATTACATAACTTATTTCATGTTCTTCCTTATTACCTAATAGTGTTTACAAAAATCATATAGCATATACAAAGCATATCAATATCTTTAATCATGCATACATACAATTAATGTAATACATATAATCACATATAAACATAACAAACACATAATCATGTTCATGACTTCATGCATATTACTCTAGGAAATAGACTCATCGCAAGTCTTATTTCCATTAAACAATACACGTCACTAGTATGCACTCACCTAACCTCACTAGTCAATACCTATTTATTTTCCCCTTGATCGATTTTATTTGCCAAATGTTCCGGAATTGCTTTAGGCTCAAATCTACATAAATATACATTTTAAGGTAATTATTAGATATCTACACCTTGTAATTCGATACTATCAACTTAAACGAACTTAATAAACCAATATTCACATTTTTCCTTCAGGAGGGTATCGGTACCCTAATGAGGGTATCAGTACCCTTATGACATTCTGTGTTTCTTTTCGTTTGAGAGGGTATCGATACCTATTGAATGGGTACCGATACCCCTAGCCCAGAAATCACATTTTCAGCACGAAAATTACTTCATTTCATTTCAAACACTTCATGTTTCCTCCTCCTTATGCTAAACTCAAATACACCTACTTAAGCCCATTTATACTCAGTCAACACATCTTTAACTTAAAATTCTATCCTCCATATGTAATTCAGAATTACAACAACTTTGCAACATGTACAATTCCAATTCTAACACTTCATATCTCTTAATTTAACCCTTGACAAGTCAAATTCAACTTCAAAATCTATTAATTCCTTCTATTTCAAATATTCACTTAAAAACTCATTTTTCTTAATTTCTCATAACTTGTTAATCTTTGAGTTTTAAGCCACCTAAAACTTTCCTTAATCTTTCTTAATATCCCAAGAATCAAAACAAGCTTTAAAACGAAAGAATTAACCAGCTGAAGACCCACTTACCTTATACAAGACTCTACGGTGAAGAGGAGAAAGAAGAAGATTAAATAATGCTCTGGAGAAATTATCTCATTTCCCATGTGCTTATTACCCTTTATAAATAGAATAAAAAATCTTTCCTAAAAATGACCATAATACCCTTATTACTTTTAAACTTTGTTATTAAATCCAACATCAACACTTTTTATTTAAGTCCCTAGACTTTTAATATTTTATGAGATTGGTCACTAAATTACCAAAAATTCTATTTTTGTCATTGACCCTACTTTTGGGATGTTACACTTAATGTTAGAGTATTTTCGTATAGATTCGATTGATGATAAGATCGAGAAGGAGGAGAAAAACAATTCATCTCAATTGTATGATAATCAAATGGTAGAAATTATAGATCACAACAAGACACGCCAATAATTTGATTTGAGTTTTATTAATTTTGAAAGAATTTAAACAAAAACTTAGCTAAGAGAAAGAAAGAGGGAAGAAAGAGAATATTTTTGTATAATTTAATCTCAAATGGTGACTAATGACGGTGAAAAAAATATTAATTATAAGAAACAATAAAGGTAAAATATTAAGTGAACTTCATAAGACTAATAAAAATGCATCATTTTGCTACTGTAATTACATCACTAAAAAATGAGTGATAAAAAGCAAAATTTGAAAGTATAGTGATAAAAATAAATATTTTTAAAGTTAGTTGATCAAAACAGAAGCAAGCTAAAATTGATTGACTAAGTGCGTAACTTTACCTAGTTAATTAAAATGAAGAATATAAGGCCAATTTCGACATTTCATCTCACCATCCTCGAACATCTAATAAAAAGAAAGCTTCAGATTTACTCCACCAACCATTTTCTCTTCGCTCCTTAAGGAATCAACAGTCTCCCTATATTATCCATTTCAAATTCAATTCATTTCCTAATTTATTGACTTCTCTTTAATACCCCTTCTCTTTGACTCTTCCAGATCTCTTCATTTTACAAAATTTGCTTTGGTTTTCTTAATTTCCCCTACTTTTTTCTTAATGTGATTTAGTTGAATCTCTCTCTTTTTTGTGCTAAAATAAGCTGATTTACCAGGATTATGCCTTCTAATCAATTTCTTTTATCTGGATTAAACTAAATTGGAATTACACTGTCATTAGATTCTGCGAGATTGTCAGTTCCGTAGCCATGGAAGAGTAAGTATCTTTCCTTTCTAGTTCATTTTCTAATTTATTGTTGCTTTATTTTATTTAAAGTTGTAATTTCTCTGAAGAATTAAGAGACAAGATTTTAATCTTTGTGTAAAGTAATCGCGTTGGAATTAGTGTTATGCTTTAATGATTTGTTAGAAATAAGAGCATTGTTAATTTGTGTCTTTGTTGGAAAATAGGGAGAGTGCTGTGGAGCTCCTACAGCGCTACAGGCGCGACAGGCGAATATTGTTAGATTTTATACTCTCTGGTAGCTTAGTTAAGAAAGTGGTAATGCCTCCCGGTGCTGTTACGCTTGATGATGTAGATTTGGATCAAGTTAGTGTTGATTACGTGCTAAGCTGCATTAAAAAAGGTTTGTCTGGAACAAATTTCTTTCTGTTTCTGCTAGATTAGTATAATGTTATATGAGATCTGTGTTCTTTTAATTTTGATGATAACTATTTTGTTAAGTTTAGGAGGAATGTTGGAGCTCTCTGAAGCTATTAGAGACTATCATGATCACACGGCGCTGCCCCAAATGGTAATAATTTACTTCTGTTGCATCATATATTACGCATGATTTTTGGTATTGTTTGGTTATCTATTTTGCTACTTGTTTTTTTAACTAATCAAAGAAGAAAGAAATAGAATTACATAATAGTTTGAAGAACTATAAAAGTTAAGAATGCTGTTTTGTAACAAAAAAGATTGTTTTAATATAAAAAAATAACTTTTTGAGATTGTTGTTGCATTTTAGTTTATGTTAATTTATACTAAAAAATTACAGGAAGCAAAATGCAAATAGGGCATTATTATGTAGCAAAAGTAGCAACAAGATTAGCTTTGGCTTGGGGTTTGATCTGGGGTATTAAAGGGAAAGATCTAGCCTTGGTTAGATTTTCGTTGAAATGTGTGTGGACTGACACAAGGGCATGCGTTGATTGTGCTACTTTGTTGTTGGTTACTTTGTTTTTCAGTATGTCAAGTAAAAAACTGGAATTACGAGTGACCCATTTTAACAAATAATGATATTGGATATGAAAAAAAAATATAATTTATTTTACTTGAATTAAAGTTAGAGTGCTGGATATGGGTATTTTGTCCAACACAAGCATTTTTAATTATTTTACAGAGTTTTCCATGTATTTGGTGGGTCCTTGGAGGCCATATCCCAATACCCATGTTCAAATATGCATCGGACACAGGTTTTGGGCAGAGGGACTTCAAGAAATGTAGAGTCTTATAGATCTGATTACAAATTGTCAGCTAGGTTGTTGGATGTTGTGAAACTCTTCCATTCTGATCCTTGGTAGACATTTATACATTTCCTTTTGTCCGCTAATCTTTTACATCTTAATCTTTTTTCCTCTTTCAGAATAGTGGTGATTCTGCTGGTGAATTCTATTTGGTTACAAATCCTGAATTCTCAGGTTCACCTCCAAGAAGGGCACCACCACCTATCCCTGTTGCGATATCATTACCAACACCATCAGCACCTGTTTTTGCACCATCTCCTGTTGTGTCAACTGTATCAAGATCAGAGTCTTTTGATTCTGCACATGTTCAAGAGTTAACTGTGGATGATATTGAAGATTTTGAGGAGGAGGATGATCTTGAGGAAGTTAATAGTCTCAAAATTTCAAGGCGTAACCCAAATGATGTTGGTGATCTTATACTGAAGTTGCCTTTTGCTACAGGTAATGATGATTCCTTAAACATGCATGGCCCTGCCAATTGCTGGAGCATGCATATGGGTGTCACTTCCTTAGTCTGCATCTCCTTGGAAATAAAAATATTCATATGCTTCAATAGGGTGTTGACTATGGTGTTGGGAGTTCCATTTTAGATGAGAAGTATTTTTGAGTTTTTTAATATTATGATCTAGATGCTATACTTATTTAGTTGCAATTCTTGAAGTATTTTATCAATAAGGATGCAATGACAATATTTAAATTTGGATGACTTTGTTGTTTCAGGTATAACAGATGATGATCTCCGCGAAACAGCATACGAGATTCTTTTAGCTTGTGCTGGTGCTTCTGGGTAAGTTTCCTTTTTTGACTTGCTGATGTTCGTTTATATGAAATTCTTAAATATATTTTTAACTTATTTTAAAATTATTTTCTTGGTTCACTTTCTTCAATATTGATCTATAAATCAGGGGTCTAATTGTGCCATCAAAAGAGAAGAGGAAAGATAAGCGTTCCAGGTTGATGAAGAAGCTTGGGCGGAGTAAGAATGAGAATATTATGTCGCAGTCTCAAAATGCACCTGGACTGGTTGGTTTATTGGAAACAATGCGTGTCCAGATGGAGGTATTTAAAACCGGATTCATTCACATGGTTGTCTTTATTGATATATGTGTTCTACATTGGTATCTCCTACACATGATTTTCTAGCTGTCATTTGGAGATGCATGAATAAAGTTCTATGATTTAATACACATTTGTTATACAAAACAATTTGAACATAGAGGAATTAGTGACAACAACATACCTTTTTTCACCCAAAGGTGTAATTGCAGAAAACTTAAGTTTATAATCTTGTTGTTATTCCTTTAAAACTCATCCATTTCTTTTGTTTGCTGGCAAAAGGTAAATGCAGCCATAGGGGATTCTGGTATTAACTTTATTTTCATACACTTAAACCACAATGTCTTTTTGATATTTTAGATGCAAATTGTTTTCTAGGTAGTCCTTTGATGGATTAAAGAAATGTTTCTACAATTGCATTTTCTTATGCTAATGAGTATGTTACATGAAGTTGCACTATTTGTTGTTGATTATAGTTCTTTGATATATAGTTTTTGGATACCTGAGATTGCCAGGGTTTGATCCCTTGTCATTTGAACTAGAAGTCCAACACTTTACCAACAGACTATGTGAGTTATAGATATTTTATTTTAATATTGATGGATACAGATTTCTGAGGCAATGGACATTAGGACGAGACAAGGATTGCTTAATGCTCTTTCAGGGAAAGTTGGGAAAAGAATGGACACACTACTGATTCCTCTGGAACTATTGTCTTGTATTTCACGCACAGAATTTTCTGACAAGAAAGCATATAAGGTGGCAAAAAAGGCAGGTAAATGTTGTTCCTTTTTGTGTCCTTTTCCTTGCCCCCCCTTGGCCTTTCAAGCTTTCTTCCTACACCAAATTGCAATGTTATTGGTATGATTATATCAGACTAATATTTTTTTGAACTTTTTTCTATTGTAGTTGAACATGTTGGCAGAGGGGCTTGTCAATCACCCTGCTGTTGGATTCGGGGAATCTGGGCGGAAGACCAGTGAGTTTAGGATTCTTTTGGCAAAGATTGAGGAATCTGAGGTAGTTCTTGTTGACTTAGCATTGAGATGGTTTACTATCTTGTATATTGTGATATCAGGTGGCATTATAATGCTGTTGACTGATTTAGTCTTATTAGCATTGTTTTCTTTGATGTGTTAAATGTATTTATCCAGTCCCTAGAATTACTCATAACAAAGTACTTGTGTATAATAGCTCTATTATTAATGTTCATTATCGTCTTGGTTTGATTTCTCTCCCTTTGATGTTAGGCTTTTCCACCTTCCACGGGTGAAGTCCAAAGAACAGAAAGTTTGAGATCCCTAAGAGATATAGCTATCCCTCTTGCTGAGAGGCCAGCTCGGGGTGACTTAACTGGAGAAGTATGCCACTGGGCAGATGGTTATCATCTGAATGTCAGACTTTATGAGAAACTGCTTGTCAGTGTGTTTGATGTTTTAGATGAGGGAAAGCTGACTGAGGTTAGTACTTGATTAGTTGCCAATTTTGACATGACACCAAATAAGCTGATGTCTAAAATTGCAAAAGTTTTTGTTTTGTTTCATTCATTTATTCATTTTAAAAATGAGTTGATGGATCAATGAATTTATTTTGTTGTCCTGCCCCCTTCCCCTTTTCTTTTTGGCTAATTGTTATACAATACCTATCTGAACAATGGTGTTAGTGTTTGACCGACAGGACTCTTGTAATCTGTAGGGTACATACATATACTCTAAGGGTATAAAAGAATGATCATGATTATACATTTTACTTTTACAAGGATAAGATAATCTGTTGTAGCTAAAATATGATCTTAGTATAACCGATTGAAGCCCATTGTATTTGTAGGAAGTGGAAGAAATTCTTGAGCTCTTAAAGTCAACCTGGCGTGTTTTGGGAATAACAGAGACCATCCATTACACTTGCTATGCTTGGATTTTATTTCGTCAGGTATCACTGATTGGCTTACTTCATCCCGTGTTTTATAATTTCAATTGATATAGTGTTAGATATTGATTTTTTGATCACAGTATGTTATCACAAGTGAGCAAGGGATTTTGCGACATGCCATTGACCAGTTGAAGAAAATACCACTGAAAGAAGAACGAGGCCCACAGGAGAGGTTACACTTAAAAAGCTTGCATGTCAGAATTGATGGTGAAGAGGGTTCTCGTGATGTTTCTTTCTTACAATCATTCTTATCACCCATCCAGAAATGGGCTGATAAGCAACTAGGAGACTACCACTTGAACTTTGCTGAGGTTTGGTTAATTGTTCATGGTGATACTCCTAGATAAGAATGTGATTTGTAGGAGTTGTCCTTCATAAGAAAATTTCTTGTTAATGGTTGTTTTGTGGATATGTTATTTGTTCTGTGATGCAAATCATGATTGTTAAAACTTAAATGGATCTAAATATTTGCACCATATTAATGAAATATGTGCTAATTGCTTGACTGCAGTGCAAACTATAATTTGGATTTATAGTTTATTACTGAATGTAATTCTTGCTGAAATTTTTAACTGAATTTTCTTTGCTTCTAATGAATCATGTGTATAAATTACTTACTCTGGAGTAACTACCTTATTAACTTGTCTAGAATCATCTAAAGCTATTTTATTGTTTGGCATGCTTTAAATAGGGTCAACAAGGAGCTTTGTGTAAAGAACATCATTTAATTTTTTTTCTGTATGAACTTTGGATTCAAGGTTTTGACTTTAGGCTTAAAGCAAAGTATGGATGGACTAACATTAACAGTTTTAATTTAGCTCAGCAGCCATGTGTGTGTTTATGTGGCCCTGCATTATATCTTTTGTGGATGTGCAATTGTATTAGTTTAATTTTTATTTTTATATATGTTTCATGAATCAATATGATATGAAATTAGACAAGATAAGAGGAACACTCAAAAGTTGACGCTGCTAAATGTCCATATTTCTTTTCTTAAAATGCTTTAGGACATCGTGCTGATAATGTCGACAGTTTAAATATGTTCCATTTTGCCAATCAGTGAATTCCTTGGTTTTATCTATTCAGCTGCATGAGCATGTGTGTGTACATGGAAACAGATACACACATCTATATCTGTATGTTTAGATACATTTGCAAACATGGGTACATATATGAACGGCTTGGCATTTGCTTTTCTTAAGCTATTCTGAATTTGGATCTGTTCGTTGCTTCATGAACTATCTTTAATGATTTTTGTTATCCTTATTTTTGTTGGATATGCCAGTATCATAATACTTCTCATTTGACTTGTAGGGATCAATGGTAATGGAGGATATAGTAACAATTGCAATGATTGTTAGAAGACTTCTTTTGGAAGAATCTGACATTGTATGTTGTACATTTACTCTTTAATTTACATATTACACCATATGAGCAGTGTCCAAGACGCCCCGTGTTTTCTATCTAGATCTCTAGTTTGTTGTTTCCTCTTATCTGTTGAGTATTGTGAATTACATTTCAATATTTTCTGCAGGGTGTGCAATCTTCCACTGTCTCAGATAGAGATCAGATAGAATTATATATATCTTCATCAGTTAAGAATTCATTTGCTAGGGTAAGTGTTTTTGCCCAATGTTTATAATTTTTCTGGTTCATATATTCTTATTTGTATCGTAATCAAGATGCCTAATAGAGGGGGAAAAAACCTGCAAAGGCTCAGGAAAATATATGAATTACAGAATGAATCTGAACTCACTTAGAATAAAATCCATTATGGTTCACACAAGTGTCCCTTTCTTTTGTCTGCATCTGATATACTCCTACCACAGGAATCATATGTTAACCTGGATAAATTATATGCCTACCATAGGGACATGGTTTATGTAGCCCCTGTAAACAGATTTACCAACGTTAATTCTTAATTTTGTAGGATGAAACTCAAATATCTGTTCTTTTCAAGGTGACTGAAACTGTTAAGCTGCTGTAACATAGCATATAACACTGTTAAGCTGCTGTAACATAGCACATAACAACCATAATAATAGAGCATGTATGACTTAAAGTCAAGCCAATTGTGTAAACGATTAAAATCTAACCAAAACTAATTAAATTTGATTGATAAACTATGCTGAAATTCCCCATTGTTACTAACTTATATTATTTGTTTCTTTTGATGCAAGTCATTAATCTCTAAGCATGTGCAAAACTGACTTCATAATAGCTTACTTGATTAACCAATTCAAGTTATTTGAGCATATCATCTATATTCAAACAAAACAACTCATCCATCCAAAGAACATAATCCAACTTAATTATGAAACCATTTATCCATTAAGTTAGTCGGAAAACCAACCATAAGATATCTCTCCAATTGAATCCCATGGTTTAGAAGCTCAAATTTTAAATGATAAAGTTCTCGCTTTCAATTTCATGAGCAATGTTGAAGCTCCTCCTGTGGTTGTCAATGCTGACGAGATTGAATCAACAGCGATTAAACATTCAACAACAGAGTAGAATTGACAAAGGAAACCCTAGCAAAAACATAGAACACATTTGGGAATTTTATTGAATAAATTACAAAATACGTCTGTACTTGAGCTTTGTGCTCAGTACATCAATCTATACTAAATTTCCTAACAGATTCAGTTATTGAATAGAACAAAAATAACCGATTGGGCTTGCTGTCAAACGGATCAGTTACAGCTGGAGCCCAACTAACTTCTAGAATCCATCACTCAACTTGAACTCGAGACTTGAGCTGGATCTGCATATAATCCAACAGGCAACAATGTCTGCTTTTGATGTTATTTCTTACAAGTAAATTAAACTCGTAAAATATTCAAAACTTCATGCTAGCTTTGTTTCCATCCTGTGAAGGCATGTTAAATTTGAGTATCTTTGTTTCTTTGGACAGATATTGCAAGCTGTTGATAATCAGACACAATGGCTGAACATCCTTTGGCATTGCTTGCAGAGGAGGTCAAGAAAATTCTGAAAAAAGATTCTACAATTTTCATGCCAATTTTATGTCAGAGGCATCCGCATGCAACTATTGTTGCAGCTTCACTTTTACACAAGTTTTATGGGAACAAGTTGGTAAGCTGAGACATAACAACTCTATGTATGTTTTAGCTTATCTAGTCCGATTATAGTACATCATAAGCTTCATTATTTGTTATTTTTAACTTTGTGTTCTTATCGATGCTTATATTGTCCAGAAACCTTTTGTTGATAGTGCTGAACATTTGACTGAGGATGTTGTATCCGTATTTCCTGCTGCTGATAACCTTGAGCAGTATATACTAGACCTCATAAAATCTGCTTGTGAAGGTGATAATGTGGAGATCCATTTCAGGAAGCTAAACCCATACCAGGTGAGATAGCTGGATTTTGTTGTCTAGTTTTTATTCTAATAATAAGCAGCAGAATATCTTTCTGTGGCTATGACTTCGAGTCTTTAGAATCGGAGCTGATAAAAGAAATATCCTTTCACATTGGTGATAGTCCAATACTTGGTTGCTCCGTTGTATTTCAATGGTACATTTATGTTATCCAGGTTTTGTTGTTCTTTTTGCATGCAAAAGTTTGAAGAAAAGAATAAGTAGTTTATTTTAAAAAAGAGATTATTTGATAAAGTAGTTAAAGCACTGAATCATATGATATCCTCATATTTGATTAAAATTGGCTCAAAGTAAATACAGCTAATTGTTCGGTATTAAGGGAAATAAAGTTATTCCTTTTATCTGATTTTTTTAATTATTTAAAGAGCTTCTTTGCTTTTGTATCATTTTTTTCATAAAGAAAAATATCAGAAGCGGCAATTAATTAGAGTATTATATATATTTTTTGTTTGATTGATTGAAATATCCCTAGCATAATAAAGACTTATATTATGAGAGACTGCAGTTTTGATCCTTGGTTGTGAGTTTGTTGAACTTGAAAGTGCTTCCTTCATGTATCTCCAGTTATTTATAAAGATGCAGTTGAATCTTATTCTTTAATGTGTGTGTTTTTATAGAATTCTTTCATGTGGTTAACTGATGAGTAGTTGTAGAAACTTTGGAAAGGATAGTTTCAAATGATTTTCTTTTTAGGTTTTCTTTTGGCTACTTCAAGGCTAAATATAGGAGTTTCTTGTTCATGCTTGGGAGCCATCGTTGTTACTGTTTTGAGTACATAATGATATGCTTCTCCTTTGCGACTACATGATCAATATAGTTTTTTGTCATTATCTCAAGATCAGCTTGAAAGAATTGTATTAATGTTGATAGGAAAAGATTCTGTCCAGTATAGTCTGTCTATTTATTTTCTCTCAATTCTTTTTACTATTCTCCCCCACTAAAGATGCATTTTTTTTTTCCATTTTCAGATTGAATCTGTTTCTGGAACAGTGGTGCTGCGATGGATTAATTCACAGTTGGGAAGAATTGTAGGTTGGGTGGAGCGGACTCTTCAACAAGAGGTAAACAAATTTTTGATTTTTTTATTCTCTTCAAAACCCATGTCTTCCCCTTTCTTTTTTTGTTTGCCATCTGTCTCTCTCTCTTTCTCTCCTCTTACCTTTGATTTAGAAATGAATATTTTTTTATCGTACTTGTTTCAGTTGTTGCTGCATAGCCCCCCCTCCCCTAACAGCTTGAACCTTTTCTATTTACTTTTCTACTAGTGGGATAGGGTTAAAAATTGATAGGTAAAGGTAGAGTATCCAGGCATGGTACTGTTAATGAGCATTGGACCCTTGTGGTACAGAATGTTTTGTGAACTGAAAATCCATGGTAGATCTAATAAAGTTGAAAAAGTAGAATTGACCAAATATGTGAGTGTGGTAACAACAAAAGCTTGCAACGTAAATTGGTTGGGATGTTGTGCAGAATTGTAGTTTTTTTTCCTCTAAGTTGAGTTGATTTGTCCCGATTTTTCCTGTTGAAAGCTTATTGGTCTGTTTAATCATGGGAAAGTTTTGTTATTATTAGCTAGATGTACGTACTCGGATTTGGTTTTGTATGTTGGTTGATGTCTTTCATTGTTTATAAAGCTTATTTTTTCTTTTAGCGATGGGACCCAATATCACCTCAACAGCGGCATGGGAGTTCAATTGTGGAAGTTTATCGGATTGTTGAGGAGGTATGAACGTTCATATTTCTTTTACTGGCCCCTTTTGGGCTTAATAGATTTCTAATCTGTTTACATGAAGCAGTTATTATTTGATGCATGATATTTATCAGGGTTCTTCCTATAGTTTGTTATTTTTCGAAACTCCGGATATCATAAAGTTGACTATTTGCTTTGCTTCTGAGAAGCGAGAACAACTTTTGTTATTTTCATCATATTCCCATGTTTTCCCTCTTTGAAAATGTGTTTTCATCTTTAACTATTCACACCTATTTTCTGTTGGAAAACAATTGAAAACCTTTTTGTTCTGTCTAGAGTTGACATATCCTAAATTTTTACACTTGTAATCATCTTTTTGTTCGTTAGTATTCTATGCATTTGAATTACCAGATTCTAGATGGTTCTTGTGTATTTTCTTAAATCATCTGTCTATTTGAAGTCATTCATGCGGTTTCTTGTTCTAATATTTTGCAAATTTAAAGGAAAAAATCTATGTATGAAGTTCAGAAATCTGTATACATTTGCTTTAGTTGGTGTCAGATCTGGAATAAATTATTGATTCAGAGTCGATGTAGCCAGTCCTTGAAACAATATAGTAACAGTCAGAGTTTCAAATGTGATTTTGCCTATAAGATGGCTACTAATCCCCTTGGAATCTATAAAGGTTGCTTTGTACCAGCCTACTTGGACTGTCTAAAGATATTTAATGATTTGTATAATTTGATTAAATGCTTTTAGAGAATTGTGTCTGTTACTTAGGAACTAAGATGGTAATGGGAAAAAATAAACTGGAAAATGATCTGAATTTACTGTACATTTACACTGACATATTTGCTTTGTTCTCCCTAAAGTATTAGCTGCAGATATGATCTCTACTTTATCTGTTTTAATTAATTGATCCATTAATTGTTTTTAACTAAAAAAGATGAGTGGTTTTATTCCGAATGGTAATAGTATGGATTTTGACGAGTAATTAACTAGTTTTAGTTATTTAACTTTTGGAGTTTGATATTATTGAAATGAAAGACATTGGTTAATCTCTAACAAATATTTGGTTGTTATTAGTTAGAAAACATTTTTCACAGGCTCTTGGAATCTCATAATTTTGAAATCAGATTCATTTCTTTTATATCTTGTTCTCCCCATGGATGTTTTTCTCATTCTGGAGATATTAATAGTACATTCTACTTTCTTTTTTATTTTTGGGTGCAGACAGTTGATCAATTTTTTGGTATTAAAGTTCCCATGAGGCTTATGGAACTGAATGCTTTGTTTCGTGGCATTGATAATGCATTCCAAGTATATGCAAATCATATTGTGGATAATTTAGGTCAGTATCCTTTATGTTAACATTCTAAGTTGATGGATTTGACTGTCATTTACATGAAAGGAACTAGAGTGTTTTTTCCCTTCATTTTTTTGGTATTTGTGGTAGTCAATATTTATATTTTACTAATCTGTCGTAAAATACAATAAAAAAGTAGCACAAAACACTGGGTTGCGTTAGTTACAGTTGAAAACGAATTGCTGAAAGTCTTATTCTAGAAAAGATTAGGATGCTAATGTCACCTAGCTCAGGAACAGTTGAGCTTGAGCTTTTCCCTGCATCTGTTAAGCTTCATTGATTACACTAGTGAAGAACATAGAACAATCGAGGAACAACTTCTAACTTCAAAGGGGCTTGAATCATATGGATGTACTAGGCAATTTCAGGAACTTGTGAATGAGCATTGCATATCAGCTAGAGTTAAAAGTTTTATTCTAGAAAGGATTAGGATGCTAATGTCATCTAGTTGAGCTTGAGCTTTCCCTGCATCTGTTAAGCTTCACTGATTACACTATTTAAAAACATAGAACATTGAGTACCAACTTCTTCTAACTTCAAAGGGGCTTGAATCATGTGGATGCACTAGGTAATTTCAGCAACCTGTGAATGAGCATTGCATATCAGCTGGAGTTAAAAGTTGGACCTAAAGTGGTTGATGGAAAATTTACATGATATAAATTGTTGATAATTTTAAACTATCTGGATACTGCAAGTTTATTTATAGAATGAGCACTCAGTACATTTTAGTGTTTTTGGACTGTTAAGCATCCAACTTAAGACTAAATTGGTAATAGGTGGAGGGCCCCAACTTTAATATAAGACCACAGGAAAACTAATACATAATAACAGATGTCAGATAACACCGGTTAACACTCCCTTTCACGTGTAGAAGAACAACAGACCCTGGACCTTGATACCATGTTAAGTATCCAACCTAAATCCAATGGATGCTTAACATGGTATCAAAACCTAGGGTCTTTTATGCTGTTTTTCCTGCCTAACCGTTGATGACCCCATGTGAGGTTGTACAAGTGTAGGCCCTGTGAGCTATACGTGAGGCATATTAAGTGGTGTTATCCCACATCGGCTAGTATTAGGTTTCCTTTGATCTTATATTAAATTTGAGTCTCTCCACCTTACCAATTGGTTTTAGGGTGGATGCTGAATATGGACCATCACCTAAAAATCCTGAATTATTATCAAATTAAATATTCTTATATTAGTCAATCCTCACATTGTTACTTGCCTGTACTATCAGTTGCTGGTTAACTATCTTACTACACTTTCAGTGCTGTAATCTTCATCTTTATTGATTTAAGTACCAAAATTGTAGAGTTTTATCCTCTTTCTCAAGAAGTGCTTACTAGACAATAATGAGCTTTTAATCTTCTCGTCAATATATTAGTTTGTTTCTCTTTGGATGTTGTGTGATACCGTCAAAGAGTAACAAGTTTTTTTCCTAGTTTCTATTCTTTCTATTGTCTTTACCCTTATATTGAAGAAAGCCAAAAAAAAAACGTAAACCCCTTAATTTTCTTTAATGTCCATTCCACCCATTGTTAAAATTGCTTAATCTAAACTCCTTGATATACGAGTGCTCATTTTCTCTGTTCTTTTTCAGTTTTCAATTGCTTATCTTAATACATCATGGCAGTTCAAATTTTCTTATGGGAAATTACTCGGTGTTGACAAGGCACACACCTGGTGCACCTAGGCATGTTTTTTTGCAAGGTGATAGACAGATAACAAAAATCCTACCTAATTGATGTTCTCTTTAATGTTTAACATTTTCCATTAGATGTACCTTTATATCGCTCAGGTTAGGCGTTTTAAAAAAAAAAATCTTTCTTTGTAAATCTCATACACTATTGCTTATGGCGAGTAAGGTGAAAAGATCTGTTGGGAAAAATTGCGTTACGGTGATCATCTTCAATATTCCAGAGTTTCTTCATTATCAAGGTCTTTGGCTAATATTCGATAGATATGGTGAGGTGGTTGATTCTTTCATCCCTAACAAAAGAAGCAAGGGAGGAAGTAGGTTTGGCTTTGTTCGTTTCACCAGATTGGAGGACGCAAGGATGGCTATCAACTGTGCTGATAGATCTAGGATTCAAGGTAATAAAGTTAGAGTTTTCGTGGCGAGATTTCAACCTCGTGAAGCTTTCTGGAGAAAGAAGTTTACTGGTCCAAAACTAGCTGAGGCCAAGAGTAAAGTGGAGGAAGATACTCATTCAGAGGCTCCCATTGTCGGTGTTGTTGACGAGGATAAGCTCTTAACTCTCAGAAATAGCTTGGTAGGTTGGTGCAGAAAATTTTTAAAAATGAAAGAGTTGGCTGCTCTTATGCACAAGGAAGGCATATTAGGTCCGAAAATTATGAGGTTAAGTGGTTTAGCAATTTTAATCATTTTTGAAGATGAAGAGAGCAGAGATTATGCTCTTAATAATCAGATTAGGGCGTTGAAAAATTACTTTGACAAAGTGGAAGTGTGGTCGGAAAATTTTCAGTGCAGCAGCCGTCGGGCATGGCTATCGTGCAAAGGGATCCCACTGTTTGTGTGAAGTCATTCCACCTTCAGAAACATTGCAGTCAAATGGGGAGAACTTATCTCCATTGAGGAAGGGACCTTAAATCCCGACTCGTTTGATAGGGCATTGTTTCAGATAACTACGAACTGCCAAGCTCGAGTGGAAGAATACTTCGATTTGAAAGTCGGGGAATGGATCTATACAGTTTATGTTTATGAGTTTGAACCTTGTTTCAACCCAGAATCTGTCTGGGTAGATTCGTCCTTGATGGAAAAGGCAGTTGCCTACCCGTTATCCACAGTGGGGGAACTCGTTGGTGACTCGCCAGTAAAGCCTCCCGGTGTTGAGGAAGCAGGAAGAAGCGTGGACTCATCGGAGGAGAAGAATTCCGAGCGGTGTTCTGAGGAAGAAGAAAGTCTATTATGTTGTATGGGGAACAGAACTAGAGGCAGCAACTTGTCGGGTGAGGATGAGGAGGAAAGGAACATAGGGGAGGAATTAATTATGGGTCTGAGGAATGTTGTTGCTGGTCAGGGGATGGCACAAACGAATATTGAGAAAGTGGTGGAACACGAGGAAGTGCTGGATCACGCGGGGAGAGAGGCAGAAAATGACATAAGGAAAAGTTGTGAGACTGCACGTGCTAATGAGGGAATGAAGGATTATTTAATAGATTTCCCCATGTTGGATGGTCGGGTAGAGTCTAAGGTGGTGGAGGATGTGTTTAATGTATGCCTTATAAATAATTGTGCATTCAAAAGATCCAAGGGTGAGACCAGGCAGAACAGGAGAGCAAAGGAGGAGAAAAACAATAATTTCAGCTCTCCAAATATTTCAAGGAAAATATTCGGCTCCCCAATGGTTATCTAGAGACTGCTGTAGCAAGAATAACCAGAGTAAGGTGCAACGTGAGGAAGAATGGCCTGAACTTGAAGGTAGATCCCTATATGATTATGATTTTCAAGCAAGGTGGCAGAGACAAAAGAAGGAAGCGAAAGAATCCTTACAGATCGGGAAAGATTTGGATTTAGAGTCTAAAGGCTCACAATTGTTTTTGATTTCGGAACATTATAGCAGTGGAAGTATTGAAAGAAACATTATGTATTGAATAGTTTTCGAGGACTCGAATATGATATTTGATTATGGAGTTGGAGGTTCGGATGGTCTCTGATGTCAAGTCGAGCAATTAGTGGCAGAATGGCGGATAGAGTTTTTTCGAAGTTTGTTTTGTTCATCTCTTTTCGTGTGGAAGCTAATGGCTTTAGTGTTTGATTTTGGCTTCTATGGATTGTGTCAGCTAATATTTTTGGCCTCTTTTTTAGTTGTATTGTGTTGTGTTGTATTTCGGGCCAAGTTTAGGCTTTTAGTCTGGTTAGTCATATTAAAGTTTGTTGTAGCTGAGATGATTAGGCTGTTAGTGTTATGGTTGAAGGTTGTATTCGGTTGTTTTTGGTTTTTTTTCTATGTTGGGGGTGGCTCTCTGATTGTATCTTATGTAATTTCTTATGTTTTAATGAAATCTTAAGGCACTCTTTTCCTCCTTCCTCTGATTAAGGAGCTTCTCTACAAGCTCCTTTAATCAAGAAGGGGGTTTTTAACGAGGCCTTCAATTCCTATAAAAAAAATTAGATGTACCTTTACACGTAAGAAAGGGGATAAACTTTCTACCTCTCATGACTTGAATATTCAACGTGAGACATGGAACCATGAGGAAATCATGTATGTTGGCCAACAAAAGAAAAATAAAACCTTCATGTGTGAGTTTATTATTACATATTGCGTACATTCATACAAAAACACAGATATACATATTGTGCTTTACTTCATTTAGGTGAGCTCTTTTTTACTTCTTTCGCCTTAGGAAATATAAGGGTTCTAGCACCTAGAGTGCCCTTTGCAACCTTTTGTGTCTTTTACATCTCTCTTGAATCTTGATGCTTTCTTTCTTTGAGTTGTGTTCTACTATTCAGTCTGTTCTACCCTTTTTTCTGCTGGTTTTTCTTTTCACTCCCTACTTCGAGACCTTGATGTGCGAGTTTCACAATGCAGCTAGCAAAGATGATCTAATTCCACCTGTGCCGGTCCTCACTCGATATAGAAGAGAAGCTGGGATAAAGGCTTTTGTGAAGAAGGAACTATTTGATTCTCGGCTGCCAGATCAGAGAAGGTCCATTGAAATTAATGTCCTGACAACACCAACCCTATGTGTTCAGTTGAACACTTTATATGTGAGTTCAAGCTTCAGTTTTTGCTTGTTTAGATGTATGGGAATGGTTTTATCTTCTTCTTCTCTCTCTTTTAGTGGGGGAGTGTGCATAGGGTTGGTTCTAGTGTGTGTGTGTGTGTTTTTAATAATATTGATTAATCAATCTTCCTGAGAATCATTATTAGTGGTGGTAAAATCATTTATTTTTTCCCCTCATGTTGGTGGGCATACTTCATGTACTTTGACCATTTAATATTTATCAAACCAGGACAGCAAAGTTGTGATATATTGACAACTTAATAGTCAATATTTCCAACAAGTCATCAATAGGGCATTAATCTGTTGATTTGCATTCACTCTGCCTAGCTTCTTACGGAAAAGCAGTTAAACTAGATTGTCATAAGTGGGAAACAAATGAAATAGTTTGAGTAGAAATGTATATATGTGATATGTACAGTGTAGCTACATTGTGTTGAGTGGGGTCAACTCTAAAAAGGTTAATTGTAGGTAAAAATGTTAGGGAAAAGGTTTTATACTCATATTGCCTCCATTAGAATTAAAAGCCAAAAGAAGGGGTCAAATAAGTATATTTTCTCCCTTTTATTAATTTTATGACAATAGAGTATTTGTGCAGTTTTCAAGAAAATCTTAAGAAGTCTTTGTACTCCGTATTATGAGTATGGCCATGCTCTTTCTCAGAAAAGAAACAAGAAAAGGAAAACACATGTTTAAACATATTTGATTAAAATGTGAAATGCAGAGGATGTTATAAACCGTGCAGATTTATTATCTATAAAATTATTTTTTAATTCTATGTTTATTATTATGTCCAGAGACAGCTCTTGCTTCTTGCTTTTGGAAGTAATTAGTAACTAGTTAAAGTAGCAATCAAATTTGGATATATTGCAAAAGCTACTTTAATAATATAAAAATGTAATGCGGATTGGTAAATTTCTATATGATGCCACTGAAATTTCTTTTCTTGCCATGATACTGTATGACTGTATACTGTTGTAATATTATAACAAAAATATGTTTCAGCATAAAACACAAGAGCATGGAGAACATGTTAGAGAAAGACAGCAGGGAAAACGTAATCTTTCAAGTATTGCTTTAGAAAGACACGATTCCCCATTGAAATCAGATGTTTTTTCCTTTCAACACTTTTATCTATTTTATTTATCGCCAACAATGACAAAGGCATATAATGAAAAGATAACGTTTACATTTCGAATTTTTAGTTTGTTGATATTCTAAATATTATCCAGTGATGATGTCCTTCCAAGTCCTTCCTTCATTTGTACTAAAATCATACTCTAGTGCCCCCTCTGTTTCCCTTCATATACTGTCTCGTTTGAGAACTTATTCGCTGATGCTGTTGTAAGAATATTTTCTGACTTGAATCTTTACTACTGGCAGTATGCTATTAGTCAACTGAACAAGTTGGAAGATAGCATCTGGGAACGCTGGACAAGGAAAAGGCCCCATGAAAAAATCTACATCAGTATGTATCGCAAGTCCATACTAATATCATCTATTTTCATTCATGCGAGTAATAATAGTATGCATGTTGCTCTTGCATCTATACCTTTTCCAATTAATATATTTCGTTGAAATGATTATGCTTCTTGCCTTCCAAAAGCTATAACGGAAATGAAAATAAAAGAATAGTTGGCGAAATTTGGTCTGGAGAACTGAATGCTTCCCAAATAGTTGACAGGCATTTTTTTATAAGAATATGGCCTCATTAAAAAAACCCCTTCATAACCGTCAAGCTCCAAAAAACTCAATAGTCATTGGAAGGAGGAAAAGAGTGCCCAAAATTTTATTGCCAAAATAAGGTCTACATCCAAAACCAATACGTTTTTCAAATGGTTGAAATTCCTGATTTTGGCTATTGTTTGGGGAATAGACTGGTGCTTGGTTCTCACTTTGTGGCATGTTTTTACTTTAATTCTCATACGTCTGCATGCTATGTATATTTTTCCATCTGTACATGTTGAGTAATCCATGTCAGTGATGAAGCAGTTTCTCGTTGAAACAATTTGAATTTTGCTTGTCAGACTGAAATTACCTTTCTGTAGGGAAATCCATGGATGATAAATCTAAAAGTTCAACCCAGAAAGATACCTTCGATGGAAGCAGGAAAGATATAAATTCTGCTATTGACCGCATTAGGGAGTTTGCTGGTAATATCTATTTTATTTTATTTTTGTCAGAAACAGAATTGATCATTGATCAAGTGCTTTTTGTGTGTTGCAGGAACTAAAATTATATTTTGGGATTTAAGGGAGCCTTTTATTGAGAACTTGTATAAACCAAGTGTTTCTCAATCTAGGTTGGAAGCAGTTATTGAACCGCTTGATGTGGTAAGCCCCCCCCCCACACCCCATCCCCCCCCAAAAAAAAAAGGAAAAAAAGAGAGGCTTGACTGAGTGAAACATCTTGTTTTGCTCTTTATGAACTTGTTATATAGATTTATTGATGTGCTGATATGGGTCTATTGAATATGTGTGATAATTGATGCTGAGATATGGCTGAAACTACTGCAGGAACTAAATCAACTATGTGATATTATTGTGGAGCCACTAAGGGATCGAGTAGTGACAAGTCTTCTTCAAGCATCACTGGTCTTTCTCGAAGCCTTCTTCTTCACGAAAAATTTAAACTGCTGCTTGCATTTCTATTTGACAAAATGTTTCTTTTTTAGGAAGGGTTACTTCGGGTTTTGTTAGATGGAGGCCCATCACGAGTTTTCTTCCCAACTGATGCAAAGCTATTGGAAGAGGATTTGGAGATCTTAAAGGTGATCACTGGAAATCAAAGTAACAATTTTGACAATGATAGTGGTGATATTAATGATGTTGAACATAGATTTCTCCACTGATTTAAGCGCCTCATTTGTTTAGAAAAACTTAGACCTTGAAATGAAACCTTTTTAGGTTAACAGTGCGGTAAAATGATTCCATCACAATATTTTAGGCGAAAAGTGCTATAAACCGATTGGACTTACTGGTTCTATATGATTTTGTATTGAGTGCAATAGTTGCAATAGAAGTGACGCTAATCTATTCACGTGAATTTGATCTACTTAGGAATTCTTTATTTCTGGAGGTGATGGACTTCCTCGTGGAGTTGTTGAAAATCAAGTTGCTCGTGTTCGGCTTGTTGTGAAGTTGCACGGATTGGAGGTAAGAAATGGTGCCTTTTACTATGACTGTTTCAAACCTCCCTTTTCAAAAAGGTGGGATGTATAGTTGCTATTAGTCATGTTATGTAGTATCGTGTGTGTGTCGGATATGGGCATGTCCAATATGGATATGTTTACCTTTTTAAAGTTTTTTCCATGTATTTCGTGTTTTGACCATATTGACGACATTTATCTCCTGTTTCGGTTTTTTCCCCGGTACTTTATGCCAATCCCATTTTTTTTCACAGGATAATCTTTTAGAGTTTCTGCTAAAGAATATTTTTCGAAACTACATGGCATGATATTAATTTTTCAGACTTGATTATTTGCAGACTCGAGAATTGGTTGAGGATTTGAGATCTTCAAGTGGCAGACTAGGTGCGGATAATCAGACACTACTAAGATATTATGCCACAGGGCTGATTCAGAGGCATCCCAGTTTGTCAAGAAGCAGTATAAGATCCCCAAGTCTTCTGCATAGGCCGTAGTATGACTCAACTGGGATTCGATATCCGACTTGACATAGAAGAAAGCGGCAAATATGTGAATATAAGTTCATCACTCCCTTTGTAAGAGAAAACAACTGGATTTTCTTTCATCTTTGTTTATGACATCTTTAAATTACTCTCCTCTTTGTACGTTTGAATTGTTCACATTTGACGTGTCTACATGCGATGGAAAACTTTTTTGAGCCAATTGGAGCTATGTTTTCAATAATTCTTTTTTTCTAAAATACCCACGTATATGAGTTTGAGCTTTTAAGCTTTCAAGAACATAGAAATCCATTCATTTGTTTATTTTGAGTGAGCATATACGTAAGTAGGGGTGCACAAAAAATTCGAATATCCGATTTTACGAAAAAAATATCCGAAACCGGATTTGGGAAAAATCGTTTTTTTAACCGGATTGGATTTTTTTAAACCGGTTATTTTAACCGGTTTGAAAAAAAAAACCTAGATCGGTTTTTTTACCGGATAAAAAACCGGTTTGAAAAAAATCGGTTAAAAAACCGGTTTTTATCCGGGAAAAAAATCGGTCTGGGTTTAAAAAACTAGCATTTTGTCACCTTAAACATGTATAAATAGGTTGGGGATGTATTTGATTGATTACAACTTTTTCAAATCTTATTACAGAACACCTAAACATCTCTCAAATCTTATTTTTGTAATTTTTTGTTCATCATGAGTAACACGGCTGAATCTTCCGTCGGGGGAAACCTTGAAGTCCTGAGAGTGATCGAACACACTCGAAACAAAGATATTTGGGATCACTACGATTTATGTGAGATGTCAAATGACTCGAGGAGGGCGCGTTGTAAACTTTGTCTAAAGTTGCTTGTATCGGAAGGAAACACAACGTTGAAGAACCATTTGACAAAATCATGCAAGGCACTTCGCTCAAGATCGGATCTTAGTCAATCGAATCTTACACCGCAAGGTGGTGTTTTTGTTTACGACAACAAAAAATTACGAGAAGCGTTTACAAAGTTTGTGATTACAAAAGCATTGTCGTTCGACCACTTTGATGATGAAGATTTCATGACAACAATTCAACAACTAATACAACCACGTTATACTCAAGTAAGTCGTACTACCCTTAGAAGAGATGCTATAAAAATGTGGCGTACGGCGAGGGAAAAAATGATTTTAGGATTCCAAGAACACCGTTATGGTGTGTCGCTTACATGTGACGTTTGGAGTTCCCCTCATAATACCGGAAATTCTTTTTTAGCCGTTACGTCACATTGGTTAGATCAAGATAATTGGCAAATGATGAAAAGAACAATCGCGTTTGAATTATTCGGTGAGCCGCATACCGGTGCTAATTTATTTACACTTTTAAAAAGGGTAATTTGTCTTTATAAATTAGAAAATAAAGTTTTTTCTATATCCTTTGATAATGCATCGAATAATACAAACGCGGTTCCAAGATTGAAAATATTACTTTCACCGATTTTAGACGGTGCGTTTTTTCATACCCGTTGCGTTGCATACATAATTAATTTATCCGCGCAAGCCGGTTTGGAGGTTATTGAGCCGATTAGATTAGAATTTAAAACAATGATAAAATCGGTTCTTTGTAACAACAACAAAAGACTAAATGATTATAAACGATTTTGTAAGTCCGTTAATAAAAAAGCTTTGGGTCCTAATTTGGATTGTCCAACTCGTTGGAACTTAACTTGGATGATGATGCATACTGCCTTAAGGCAAAGGGAAACATTGCAAACATTTCACGATCGGCTTTTCGAGAGGGGTCATGTCCCAAACATTTATCCGGATTCGAGTTGGGAAACTATAGCCAAAATAACCGATTTGCTTGGGGTTTTTAAAAATGCAACAACTTTTTTATCCGGTGTTTATTACCCTACTAGCCCGTTGGTTCTTAATCAAATATTTTTGTTGGCTACCCAACTAAATGACTTTGAATTTGAAACCGAAGTTTTTCAAGAAATTGGCTTTGCAATGAAGGAAAAACTTTTAAAATATTTTAAGGAGATTCCCCCCATTTTTACTTGTGCCGCCGCTTTAAACCTAACGTTAAATGTTGGCGGGGTTGAAACACTAATTGAACAAATTGCGTTTGCTTTTAATCTAACCGATGATGAACTCAACTTTGTCCAAAACCAAATAAATTATTTTAACAAATGTTTTCGAGACATGTTTGCAATTTATTTAACTAAATACGGATCAAGTAGTGTAATACACGATCAAATGAGAATGAATGCGGAATCATCTAGTAGACGTCCAAGTAACATAAATTTGAATCTTTTTAATACTCTTGTAAATTCTCAATCCAAACGATCACGTACTACCACCCCAAGTAGCAAGTTGAGAAATTACATGTCATGCGATTTTCTATCAAAAATGACATTTGAAGAGTTTGAAAGTTTGGATATTTTGGCTTGGTGGAAAGAAAAGGAAGCACAATTTCCGATTCTAGCCTCCATGGCCCGTGATTTACTAACCGTCCAAGCTTCTACGGTAGCTTCGGAATCCGCTTTTTCTGTTAGTGGCAGGGTTATATCGCAACGGAGATCAAGACTAAGTCCCGAGTCGGTGGAAGTATGCATTTGTTTAAAGGATTATTTAGATGGAGCGGCTCGTAAGCAACATATCACCACCCTAGAAGATGCAATTGATGTCAATTTGGAAGCAAACTTGCACATTGAAGAAGTCGAACTTGGAATATCCCTTCCAAATGAAGAAGGCGAAGATGATGAAGAAGAGATGGCAATGTAGTTTATTTTTAAACTTTATTTCAATTATCGTAAACTTTGTTTCAATTATCGAACTTGAAGTTTTTAAGTATTTGAATTTATCGAACTTGGAAGTTTTTAAGTATTTGAATTTATCAAACTTAGAAGTATTTAAGTATTTCAATTATCGTAAACTTTGTTGCAATTGATGACGATGTAATTTTAATAATATTAAAATCGGTTTTTTTATAATCGGTTTTTTTAAAACCGAAACCGGTTACACCGGTTAGGATATCCGGCCCTCCAAACCGGTTAGAAACCGAACCGGTTATTTTATAAACCGATTTTTTTTCATAAAAAAAAATCGGATCGGATAAAACCGATCTGGATCAAATTAAAATCTGACTTCTGTGCAACCCTATACGTAAGGAAATATGATTGTATTTGACAGACATTAGAATGTGGTTTCCTTAGTTGAGTTTATCGATTATAGATAAATGTATGTGTATGTATATATATTCTTAACAACTCACACCCCTCTGGTGGGAGAAAACCCCCCTCCCCCCTACACACACCACAAGCATACAACTTTTTCTAGAATGCTGGTAGATGATTTAATTTATCATAATTTAAATGAGACGAAAATGTATTCACAATCATAAACACTAAATCTCAAATTTAAATCTAAGGGTTGTTTGTTTGTCTCTTAATGGAATTATTCAGCGTTGAATGTTGAACGGTTCAACATTCAGCGCGTTTGTTTCGCACATCTGAATGATTCAGTGTTGATTGATTCAGCAAAACAGTGCTGAATGATTCAGCAAAACAGTGCTAAATGATTCAACACAGAAGTATTCTGAATCATTCAGAGCCAGTTATCAAACAACATGTTACATTCAGAGTTAAACTATTCAAAGCCTTTGAATCATTCAGCATTTGAATCATTCAGCGTTGAATCATTCAACGTTTAATCATTCAGCGTTTAATCATTCTGAAATAAACAAATCGCCCCTAAAATTCTAAAACCTCAAACCATATACCCTATGAGATGAGAACCCACATGAAAAAAAAAGTTCTCCACTGCCAAAATAATTTCTTTACACCATTTCATAATTTTTGGTCATTTAATATTTTAACAATTTTACCATTTGATTTGATAAGTTTATGTCTTCGCGCTTATACGCTAAATTTTGAATTGATCTCATATCTTTAAGGGTTAATAGCACATCATGTCCTCAAACTGTGATATTTATTTTGAATTGATCCTTAAACTTTTAAGCATTTCAATTTCATCCTTAAACTATGACTTTCATTTTAAATTGATCCCAAAACTTTTGAACATTCTAATTTCATCTCAAACTAGGACAATCATTCTAATTTGGCATCTAACCTTTTGAATATTTCAATTTCATCTCTATACTATCGTTATATGCTAATCACGTCTCTTGTTAATAAAACCGTTAAAAATATTGAATCATGTCTCCGGAAATTATTATTTGTAATTCTTAAGAGACGATTTTTAATTTATTTCAATTAGTTTAGATTTCAAAGCGGTTTCGATTTAAAAAAAAAAACCTGACTGCAATTTTTCATTAAGGCCAACTTAAAAACAATTCTTCACACCAAACACAAAAGATATAGAATAAAATAAGGGAATCGCATACAGATGTTAGGATTCAAACCCTGGAAATGTTGGATGCCATCTCTAAAGGGTTACTACATGAGACAGAGATTACTTTTTGTAAAAGATTAGCTTGATATACAACAAACACAATGCAGGAAGGACTATTATTTATGAATCTACCAAATTTCCTAGGAAACTTTTTCACAGGTTCGCTTATTTGTAGAATGCATAACGGAGATGTTCCTAACATTACGTGAAGAATAACATGCTTTTAAGTTATCCCAAAGGCCTGATTTTGCTCTCTTTGACCTTATTTACACACTTAAATGTATAAACAACCTGCACAAGTAAGGTCATTCACATAACATAATCTTGAACAGAGGTAAAAGAAAACCAAGCATATCAATCATAAACTCGTATTTCCCTCCTTCATTCTTTCTGGTAACAAGAAGGAATATGTTATGCCAAATGGCACCATACTAAATTTGTACAACAAATGAATTTTTATCACAGTTATGAACAAATCTACACACGATCACTAAACAACTTAATATCTCCTAAAATTGTTTACCACCGGTTTCAATGAGATGGCAAACATACAATTTACTGATTCGAATAAGAAATTACACACTATCAACAAATGTTGGAATCAAAATGCAAAGCACTTCATATAGAATGATTCATGGAATCAAAGGAATTGTTGGAGATAAAACCCCTCACTTCAATTGTGTTCCCATCTCCATCAACAACGATTTTCAGCAAGTCCACTGCTCTAGTCTTCCCTTTAGCACTTCCATTCTTCGTCAAGTCGGTAATCTGTTCTATAATTTTAGCCCCCATTTCTCTAACTTCTTTCCTCGCATTCTCGCCGCCGCAGCGAGC